CCCTCTAAACCTCCGTGATAAATTTCCGTTGATGTAGCATTACTCGTGCATGAGACACAAAAACGTGCCCACATCCAGCAAGGAGCGTAGGACGTGCCCTCGCTGGACATGGGAGACGGACGCCCACATCCACCAAAACATGGATTAAGCTAGGTGTACTTTTCTGCTATATAAAAAAAATGTGTTAATGAAAAGTCATGACCGGTTCTCATAAATTTCGTCTGTTGCTAAATTTTCGTTTGAAATGTGTCTAAACATTTGATGATCATGATTGGATGGCCTCCGTGGCTGTAGACCCTGAAAAAACACCATCATCTGTTGTGCCTGGACGATGATTGACTGGTAATTAGCGCAAGTGTGACCCCAGCAGATAGCTGGTCCTGGTTTAGCACATGTTGATTGTGTGGATTGGTTGCTTGCATGCTTCTCCAAGACCAAATCTATCAATCCGTCCATCCATGGAAGCGTCAACCAGACCAGGCACGGCAGACACGGTCCCTTTCTTTCTTCCATGGTTGGCTCAGCTACGCTACGCTACGCATGCATTGCAATTGCAATTGCACGGTCGTCGGAAAAGGTCCAATCAGGCATGGGCTCCCTCCCCTCTTCTCTCCTTCCTTTCGCTTGCAAGTCATCGCCATGACTCGTGTATGTACGCGCCGCAAAGAAAACGATGTGATGATGCAGCCGGTGAGCAGACAGACATCGCGGTCAAGATGGGAATGGGCCGGGTCGGCCCGCTGGGTCACTGACCCGACCCAAAAAGACGAGGCCAATGGGCCAAGTGGGTTGGCCCTAAATGATATATGGGTCAGTGGAGCCGGCACCGTGCGACCCAATGGGTCAGACGGGTCGACCCAGTCAAATAGCTATGCCCTAGTCGCTGCCCCCAGCACAAGTTTTGTTTCTGTTTTTGGTTCTCGGTCAGTGCTGTACGCAGTAGCTTCAGTGTAGATTCTGGTGCGTATATCTGTAGGAGTTTTGTCAATCTTGTAGACTACGGCGAACTTGTGTTTGAGCAGCAGTGCATCTCCAATCTGATGCTCAGTTCCTACAGTGCGCGTGCTTGACGACACTACCGCTGCAGGCCGGCGTTGGGTAGCAATAATAACAACGACGTCGCAGCTGCTACAGTACGCAGCAACAACAGCCATCGGCCCGTGCTAAGGAGTAAACAACGACCATCACGGCGGACAGCAACAAACAACAAGGGCGCAGCCACAGAGTGAATCCTCACCTGATTAATATCAGGCTAACAGAATAATAATTATGTGCTTTGGTTGTACCAAAGACATAGATCATTTTCAGTGTTGATTCTGCTGAATTTTGGGTCGGCCTCATCTACCCAACGGGTCAGCGAGGCCACAAATATCTGATGAAATGAGCCGACCCATGGCCTCACATATTGACCTTGGGGCCATGGGGCCGGGTCCAAGGCCATGGCCGGTCGGCCCATTCCCATCTTGACGTCGCCGGGCTACGGCACTGCCTGCGAGATTTTCTCACAAGCAACACTCCCTCTCTCTCATTTCAGGGCTCTTTGATCGAGGAGACCTGCATTTCAACTTTGGAGGCTTCTATATTTGGAATCTAAGGGTAAAAGATTTGTCTCGTTCATTAATCAAGGAGAGGAGAATTGCACAGTTAATTGACGGAAAACGAAAACCAGGATCGACACAACAAACACACCGATGAAATAATAGGACGTAGAAGTGGTTTTCAACTTTGTAATTTCATTCATGAGCGTAGAAAGTAGAAACTATAACTATGAGGCTCATAAGCTCGCCAAGTTCTCTTGTAACCTGCAATTAGGTAGACATGTGTGGTTGGAATATCCTCATGATCCAACCGTTGTACCTATGAACGTTGCTTTGGAATAAAAAGCTTGGCGAGTTCTTCTAAAAAAACAACACCGATGACAAGCACACAGCCTGCATATCTCACATTGGCAGTGTTTCGGCCTCCACGGTACACGTAAACCTCGTTCCAGGCCGTTGGTCAAATTTACCACAGGCACAGCACCAGATTCTTTATTGAAAATGTATTATTACTTTACTGTTCATTATATAAAAAATCTCCACTAACACGAACACAACACCAAACATGGCGTATCTCATCTTACACCGATGTCATGCAACAAGCGTATCACATCTCAGGATGATATCAGTCTACAGTTCAGTTTATCTTCAGTAACATGGAAACGGCAACCAGGGTAGAGCACTCTCATCTTACGCCGTTACACAGCAAACGTAGCATCAGCCATCAGGAGTTCTTGGTCACACCTCATGACATCTTCTTTGCTTTCTTGTCCGCCCACTCCTTGCGTTTAGCGTCAATCAGCTTCTGCACATTGGCATGGAAACCAGGATATGGTTCGTACGCAACAAACTTGTGAAGAATCTGAAGCAAACGGCAAGATTGTCATGACTTGTAAGGCAATCTCTTGTCGACCATCAGAGTGATGATGCTTCAGAATGCTTTACCTCTAGAAGCACGAAATATGGGGCCATCATCAAAGCCTGGACAAGGTTGTCAACTAGAGCAGGTGCCCGCTTCTACAATCAGAGTAAGTGCAAGTATTAATAATCCATGGGCAAGAATTTTCCATAGCTAGTGCTTAACCTAATATTGATAGCGTGATATGATAGAGACTTGCCTCAAAAACTCCATGGCCAATGAATTGCATAGTCCAACAGAACAGCTGAGCTACCAATACCACCTGCAGGAAAAAAAACA